GGTGTGGATGCTTTGTTTTGTGGTTCCAATGTACACCTGACCACAACTGCAAGGTATCCGGTATACTCCTGCAGTGGTGAGGGGATCCTTTCTGTCCTTTGCTGACCGTAACATTTGTTATATTTTTGTGGTGGGCTTGAATATTGTTTGTAGGTTGTGTTTTTTCAAAAGTTTTCCCATGCAGTCCATGACCTCTTTGATGTATGGCAGAAATACTTTATTTGTGGGTGGCTGTTTTTCTTCTTCAGTTTCATGTTGTTTTCTTGGTTTGATGGCTCTTGTGATTTCATTTTTGGAGTAGCCATTTCCCTGTTGTGCCCAATTCAGATGGTTGAGTTCAGTGCTGAGAAAATGAGCTTCACAGTTCCGATTTGCACGGTCTACCAGTGTTTTGATTATGCCTCTTTTTTGCTGTGGGTGGTGGTTGACGTTTTTGTGTAGGTACCAGTCTGTGTGGGTGGGTTTTCTGTAGACCTTGTGTCCCAGTCAGAGGTCAGTTTTGTGTACAACCATGACACCTAAAAATGGGATTTGGCCCTTTATTTCTTTTTCCATGGTGAATTGTATATTTGGGTGGATGCTGTTGAGATGGTTCAGAAATTCTTCCAATTTTTCTTCACCAGGGCTCCAAATTGCTCCAAATCTCTCCTCCTTATCATAACAATACACCCACAACAAGCCACACTAGTCACCCATCTACTGAAAAGGACAAAAGCCTATCTCACAGCCATAAATACTCCACTCCCAAGCAAACTACACCAGAGCACAGAGTGCTGTCCTCTGAAGATGCCGGCCACAGAGACTGGGGAAATGTGAGGAAGAACAACCTTCAGAACATGGCCAAATAGCCGGAAAAAAACAGAACAACCAACAGTTAATTTTATTTAAAATTTACTTGTACTTTAATTATTGTGAGCTGTCTTGAGCCTCTTTGTAGGAGAAAGAGGCATAGGAATGATAGGAAGGAAGGAAATATTTCAGCCAGTAGCATTTGTAAGCTGATTAAATAACTATCAACTCTGAAAAGTAATAAAGTATTTAAATTTTCCAAGGGCAAGTTTATGCATGCATGTGCATTGCTAGATAGATAAAATGCCAAAAGATTACTTACATACACAAATAGGCTATATAATACCAAACAGGATGTTTTTGTAGGTTCTGCACCATTCACAATAACTAGCACTCCAGCTTGTTAAAATATGGGAGATGATGGCTTACACACAAACCTTGGTAAGCTCAGTGGAGTGGAATCCTTCTTGCTTTTCTTTAAGTGAAAAATAAGAACTACTGCACCTTAATTAGGCTGTGAACTAAAACTGGAATTTATGAACACCCACTTACATCATTTATTCCTCATTTGTAAATCCCTGAGTTAGGTTTGTTTTTTTTTCACTTCCAACGCTTTCAATACTTCTGTATACTCTAAATAAATTTTGACTACATTCATGTTGAATGGAGTTTATTCACACATCTGCCAGCAATCAAGCAAAGAGAAAGGAAGTAATGTTTAAACCAGACCAGGAAGATCAATCCTATAATCTAATTATGCCATGATTCTGATAATATATAGCCGAATTTGTCAGTGCCTGCCGTGGGCCAGAGCCATAAGACACTCTGAAGGTTTCCTTCTGTACTGTCGTTCCTTGGAACCCACTGCCATAGGGTATACTTCCAGATAATAGAAACAGTGCTTTTAGAAACTATGCAGTGGGTTCTAATTGCTTGTTAGCGGGTCAGGACCTACATCCTCAAAAATAACATCCTTAATGCTGGCAATATGCTAGAAAAGACATGGTTATAGGACAGGTTCTTTCCTCATAAGGCAGCTAATGAAAATGAGGCAACTGTTAACAGATTTTTTAATAAAACTGACACAAGTTACAAAAACTAGTGCAGATACTGGTGATGTCTTTGGAGAAATCAGCACTCTCAAACCCATGGCTCCAGATTTTCAGAATCAGATTTATTTTATTTTATTTTATTTATACCCCGCCTATCTGGTCTACTCGACCACTCTAGGCGGCTTGCAGGGCTACTCTTAATAGGGAGGCAACATTCAAAACAGATCAAGTACACTAGACCCAGGCCAATAGTTGCAAATCTGATATATTCAGTGACTGGTGGTAAACAAAGCATATCATAACAGAACATCTCCACTGAGTTCCAGTTCATGAAACTTGATGAAGTATTCATGGAGCTGCTAAATGAAGCCTGCTGTGAAGTGTATCCACTAATTTCCAGTGTTGAGAGAAGGATTGTTGTAGAAAACACCTCTTATCTCCATTCTCCCTCAGAATCCAGACATTCAAAGATGTTCTTAGAAATTCAAACCAGAAGACAACAGAACTTGCAAAATTCTAGTCGATCTTCTAGGTCAACAGTTGCTGGGCTGAGGCTTCAGCAGGACAATAGAGAAAAAATGTAGTAATTTCTTTGGAAGGAGATATATTAGAAGGTGCAGAGGGGGGAAAGCAGAGAGAGGAATGTGAGAAAATGAAACATGGCAGACAAACTGACTACTCAATGTATTTGATAGTAACAAAGGCTTGAGATGGTCATTAAATCCCAGCAGGGAAACAGGCAAATTTGGAAGATTTTCTATCCTTGTGTCTGGAGATCTTTGGGCTCTAGCAGCGACTCAGTATCTGTAATGGTCTGGTTTGAAGGGGCCATCTTTGGGTAGTCCGAGATATTTGGCTTGCTTGTCTGTCAGCTTTGTCAACTTCACACCAAGTTTATCTAGATGAGCAGCAGCGACAGCTTCATCCAACTGAAAGAAACAATGGGCAGGAAACAGACCTTTTTGTAAAAATAATAATAATTCCACATGAATGCATAAAAAGATATGTGTTGTCTTTCCCTTAGAATGTTAACACCCAGGCACAGCCATAAAGAGATAATGAGACTCTTTTGCCACCAGACCTCAAAGGGCTGCAAGTATAAAACCCATACCTTAAAAATGGGCCCAGTAAGCAACTGGCAACCAATGGAGGTTGGTTTTCATTATCAAGGTTATACAATCTTGGCACCAACCACCAGGTAGCAGCCTAGCTGCCTTATACCAACAGGAGATCTTCTTTCAAAGGTAGTCCCATACATAGCACACTGTAGTAGTCAAGACATAATGCATCACAATACCCAGACTATTGCTCAGCAGCTCCTCCACCTAGCCAGGATTTAACTTAACCAACCAGCACTTCAAAGGCTTGTTGAAATATTGTCAACCAGTGACTATATACTGATAAAAAAGAGGGCCAAGCAAACACCCCAGGGAAGGATGTTCTGCGTTCTGCAAGAAAAGTAGTTCTCTTCTGCATCCCCACTAATTATTAGAGAATGGTTAATCACAAGGATAGGCCCTGTTTTATGATAGGTCATTGAAAGTTAACATCAGCAAGTGTGGCTGCTGATTATTTCAAGGAAAATATCTTTGTTAATATGCATTCTTAATGCATAATTAGGCCCTTATTTGTCTAGCCACTCCAACATGGGGTCTTTCATGGAACCCTGCTGGTCTCATCCCACTAAGGCAGATGAAAGTGCTCCTCCCACTTTTCAGACTTTTTTTGTAGAAGTGTTTCTCTCCCACTAAGGTCAATAGGAGAGACATCAACCATGCTAGCTACATCTCTCCACTATGCTAGGAGTGACTCTGAATCTACAGCCTCTGTTGGCACGCCTGCAGAATGTATCCCTTTTTGCTCCTAAGCAACATTTGAGCTGTAACACTGGAGAGATAAGGGCTGTGGAAGCTGTTGTTAGGATAGGAAGAAGTAGTGTAAGTCATCTTTCCGCCATCTTTTTAGAAGACAGCCCCCAATTCACTGGCCACAATTCACTGTTATTGGCAGTGTCGCTGATCTTCCCTTTATGAAAATCCATTAACCAAAACTTTTGTAGCAGGATTTTGCACAGGCTAGAGTTTCCAAGACAACCTTACACACATATGAACTTTGCAGAGAAGATTCAAACTAACTTTCAGCTCCAAATATTCTCCAGTTTTGCATGCATGTATGCAGACTAAATTTATTAAGAAACACAACATGGCAACTGAGGAATTCATGCATCAGTGAAAGGAATTCCAGACCACAAAAGTTTATGCCACTTCCAACTGCCCACTTCAGTTGCCACAGTATTTTATTTTTGTGCTTGGTGCAATAGATGAATGTGGCCAGTTGATTTTTACGAGCAAGTATGGAGTCCAGATACAGAATGCAACGTTGTTGTTACATCAGATCCATCCATCTTTACAAACTCCGCAAGATTTGGTTTTACAGAGAGATCATATACACAGAAAAGCTCTTCCAACAAGTATATGTTGAGGCAGTTAGGCACAAATTTATCTTATTTACTGAAGGAAAAACCTTTTCCAATTGTCACCTGGATGAATTTCAAAGACAACAGAGACTAGCCTAGGTGTCAAATAATTACCATCTTGTCAATTTCACAAGGTTTTTTAAGAAAATGGAGGCCAGATGACTCCTTCAAAAATGAGAAATGTACAACATCTTTCAAACACTACCTTATTCTAGAACAAAGAATTCACTAATAGTTTTTCATAATTAAGACGAAACCCAGAGGAAGTAAATGGCAAAAAATGACACAGGCTTAGAGATTTTCCAGAGACACAGTGGACATCCGGACAATTAGGAACAGATTGAAAGTGGCTTGCTAAGATGTTCAAGGAATAGCATAATTCCTCCCCCTATTATGCCTATGCATAGAAAAATCCACAATGAGGTCCAGAAGTTACACTGAGGATAAAATGGACCCACACTGCTCCCAATATTTGTTGAAGTAGACATAAAACATACATCTGTGCACAAATTCCTCAAAAAAGCAAAGCTCTCTGGAATGCACGCCAATCCCAAAGCATAAAATGCAATCTGCAGAATACACGAACAACTCTTTCAAGTCCCCAACCCATGGTATGACAAGATCAGTCTGCCTGGCATAAGTACTCATTGATATTTATTGATGTTGTGGCAATCCTTCAATTGCACAATCAATGCAATGATTCCACAAACCTGAGCGTTCAGAAGAACACAGTTCTCCTCAATCTAAAATGCAGATAGTAGTACCTACGTCCAAGAAGTCAGTTTTAAATCTGCCCTCTTGTCTGTTCCATGTATTACTGTCATGAAAGAGAAGACAATACCAACAACACTTACCTTCTTTGGCAGAATATGGACTCCTACTGCATATTTGGTAGGATTTGTCCAGAGCTCTATCTGTGCCAGGACTTGGTTGGTAAAGGAATTGCTCATGACAAAGCTAGGATGACCCATGGCACATCCTAAATTTACCAGTCTACCTTCTGCCAGGAGTATGATGTGGCGGCCATTTTTCAGCGTGTAGCGGTCTACCTGAATGGAAGAAAGAACAAATCCAATGAGGAATGGTTTCTAAATGGTGGCGACATCCATCTTGTGGATAGATTGGCAATAAAAGAACAGTGTGGTGTAATGTTTAGTCTGCTGGACTGGGATAGTACTGCATCGTCTTTAACGTTCTAAACTCTTAACTGCACTGAGTTACAAAATTCAATGTGCAACTTTGCGCTAGGCTCTCAGTGTGACCTTCCTGAAAGAGTTGTGAGGATGAAACTGGGAGGAGAGCCATACACTCAAACCCGAGTTCACTGGAGAAAGGGGGAAATGTATATTCAACTAAGCAAATAAATAATCAAACAAATGAACTAGGTTCTTTCAGAAAGCTTTTGGTTAAATATTACAATAGCCACATAGCATGTTTTAGTTTTAATTGTTAACAACAACATCAACTAGTTTATAAGAACAGCTGTGTCTTCCTTGGGTTTTAAAGATTGTTTTAACTATCACAGACTATTTGCTGCCTTAAGCAGTCTTTGAGCAGGATGCTTAAGCGTTAGAAATAAAACTAGAATAAAATTATCAAATACAAAGTGATTTAAAATAGTGACGTTAGAGGTAGGCAACTCCAAACATGCTAATTTTGGAGATTATCAGGACACCAGACATAAGATCAGTGAAACTTGTATCACATTACATATTATTTTAAAAGCCACAAAGACATAAAGGACAGGGAAAAACTGGACTTGCATCCTGGTGAGGAACTCTGAACACACTGAAAAGAAATAGAAGTAAATGAAAGAGCACAGCTATCAACGTGTTACATAGCAGTTAGCCTTTAAGAGCCACAAAAAAGTGGCAATATTAAGAACAGCATACATATTACACCAATATTTAACTGATTTTGGTTAAAACTTGTATCTGTTATATAATACTAGGCAAAGACTGTGTCTTGCATTGTGGAAATATTTTCCCCTTTATTTGGATAAGTACAGTATACCACTTTTACTAATATACCGCTTTTACTAATTGCCTGACAGTCTTTTTCAGAAATTTGATTTACCGTTTAAAGATACAAATCAGGAGTGGGCTGTGCTGAGTAGATCTGCTCCCCATGTCACACATGCCACATCAGCTTTTCCATTTAGGTCAACACCTACAGTGTGGACATCAGAAAGGTCCTGCATGTACAAGTGTACCTTCTGAGGCTTCCACCTTACCTATAATCCTGGAGGCTTCTGCCAGCATAGCTGCGCAGGCAAAGCCCTCCCACAGATGGTCCTCTCTATGCATGGACATCAGATGTAGGGGCTATGTTACACACATGATGCTGCAGTGAAGCTGGGGCCCAGATTGCTTGTTTATCTTAGCATGAGGGTTCTCTGCTAGCAAAGCAAAGCATGGAGGCTCTGAAGGACTCCACTTCTGAAGAGAAAATGTTTTATTTATTTATTTAACTTATACGCCGCCCACACTACCCAAAGGTCTCTGGGTGGCTTACAACAATTTAAATACAATAAAAAGATAAAATAATTAAAATACAATTAAAAATACAGTGCTCTAAAAATTGTCATCAGGACCCACAGTTGATATTATTTCAATTAAAAACCTTCTGGAA